ATATGTTTAAACTTTTCCAAAAGTTTTCTTTTGTCCTCAGTGATGGTAATCATCCTTTCTCTGACTGGTTACACAGCACTGCAAAGCAAGATATTATATGAAGGGCATTTTTGCCCAGACTGCATTCAAGAGACTTGCAATCTGCTGGTTTAGCTATGTGAAGCGGTTTGCTCTTTTTTAAGTCACAACATCAGAGAGCTACTGTGAGAGCAATTGATGGCATAAACAACATTTATGGAGGCATTTTACCACACTCATTTCCATGGTATTGGAGTGTCAGGAATGGATGGCAAAGTTGGAGAGGGTTGGGATGGCTGCCCATACATATGTTGGATGAAGAAATACCTTCAGCCCCTGTTGGCTCTGTTTCCAGATGAATGCCATCAACATACAAGCACTAGCTGCTCCAGATGGTGTTTTCAACAGCCTCATCCAGGGCCTGGTCCAGTCCTTGCTGTAGTCAATGGCAAGACCCCCGCCAAGCTCACCAGGAGCTGGGTCTGGCCCTAAATCTCTGGTTGCAGCAACAGCACCATGAAATTGGTCATGCCTGTAGTGAAGTAATTCTACACAAAGGCAATCAAATCACAAGCACATTTTAAATGCCAGAAACAAGTGGAGAAACAAGAAGGAGAGAGCTTTTTTTGTGGAAAGTCATTTGCTTTGTTTGAATTATTTAAATATTTCTTTGATACCCTTGTCTGGGATGGCCCAAGCTCTTGAGGTTCTACTCTGATGTCATTTTATACATTTATTCCCATCTACTTCTCAAATGATTCTAGGAAAACTAAAAAAAAACTCCTTCAGACAACCTAATCTTTGTGAAACCAGCAAGTCTATTCTAGCATATGGGCTCTGTGTTTGCCTGTGTGCATGCATGCCTCTGTGTGTATCTGAAGAGGGGGAAAATAATGCATCTTGACAATGGCCACAATAACTTCATTTTTGCTATGCTTGGTCTATATTTTCTGTTTGTTACGAGGTAACAGAACTTCTCTTCATTGTGTCTTAAATACCTAAAACAAATTCATTTCCAAAATATACTTCTCAGACTAGTTATCTAGCTAAAAAAGAAAAAGCAGTAAAGGATAGACTCCTGCAGCAACCTCTACCATCTCAGAGCCATGGTTTGCAGGAGAGCATTACCACAGGTACATGCTTGAGAAAACTAAAGCCAGATTGAACATCCCTTAAAACAATCATAAAATTCTGTTGGCTTCAGTATCTGCACTGAAGATCAAATCTCTGGTAGGGGCAAGTGAAATAGTCCGCACAATTTGGGAGACAAACACTTAGAAAATATTGCCAAAGGTTTCTTCAATTACTCTTTTAACAAAGAATAATAAAAATATCAGCAGCTTAAACTACTCATTCTAAATATATGAAACTGATAGAGGAAGTAATGGATAAACCTGCTATACCCTGTAAAGGATAACATTTTCAGCCCAAATTAAAAGGAGAAACAAACCAATTGCCACTTGTTTTACATCACAAAAAAGATGAACTTCTCCCTCTAGCAGCTGAAGACAAAACAAGTAGCCACATAGTGACTATTTCTATGCATCAGACAGGCTCCAAGCTCATCTTGCAGAGCCTAACTCAAACTGGAAATGTAGGAAAACTTCTCTCCAAATCTTTCCTTATTTTGATTAATTTGTCATGGACAATTCACAAACAGAAATCTGACAGATGCTTGATTCTTTGAAAATTAGTCACTTCACTCCTTTCCAATAAATCTTTACATCCCACTCCTTTGACTTATTCAAAAGAACATATTGCCTTTTTTAAAACACAATACAGCCATTAGCAAATCATAGCTGTGCTGCCCCATCTCATTCTTCTCCATAGCATAAAGTGTCCCAAATGCTTGCTGCATCCACTCTTTCCCATCCTCTCTCTCTTTTAAATATCTTTCACCACCAGATTGGCATTGGCAGCCAGCCAACCAGTCGGCACTTTAGCTAGACAAGTGCTATGCTGATATGCCTAGATCTTTGAAGTGTCACACAACAAGTCCAACAAGTTAGTTTTCTTCCTATTTTAATACTTTTTGCAGAGGGCCCCAGCCACAAAATACATTTCCCATCAGGTTTGGGTTTTTTTCAAAGCAGGTCCTTTCTGTGCAAACTTCTGCTGACGACTTTCTTTTTGAAATGCTTTGACCTCTATGGTATTTTTGAAAATACGGCTGAGAGATGCCTTTGTAAATGATATTACATTATACCTACATTAAGTCTACACCCCAGGAGCCCAAGTTCAGAAAGTCATGGTTGGATTGGCTAATACACTTTTTAATGAGCACTGATGTGACATGCTGCTTAGATCAAAGTGCAAAGAGCTGTTATTTGTCACTGCTTCCCATTACAGCACATTCTGAACAGGGGCAAAGTAATGAAACAAGTAGGACTGGCTATATTTAAAAAAATATCATGCATCAGGCTGAAAAAAACCATATCCTCAAAATAACAAAAATAAGAAAACAGAATACAAGTAAAAGACAAAGTGTCATTTTTAGCAAGTTGTTTCATGTCTGAGTCCACTGGGTATTGATTTCATTTTATTTTATTACCACATCTGAAGCTGCACTGATAGTAAATCACAAGTGGAGCCTAATTTACCAAGTCGCCTAATGGAGAAGTCATTTTTGCCCTTTCCTCTTATGAAAAGCTGTTTGTGATGTTACCATAGGGGGCTGTCACTTCCCAGGGAAGAAACCACAAGCGACTGGGATAACTGACTTTTGGAATAAATGATTTTTCACAGGCAGTTCTCAGCCTCCTCTTTTTGCAGATAATTGTATTGCTTGATCTGAGGATGGTAAAACAGAAAAAGCCTCTCCTTTCAGATGTTGTTGCTTTTACACAATTATACTTTTATACAATTATACTTCAAAACTACTAGCCCTTCATTACTGCTCACAGTGCCTACCTTTTATATTCAGGTAAATAGAAGGTGAGTTACATTAAGATACACACATGCCATATTACCTGTATGCCTGCCAAACATGTGAGGCTTTTAGGCTGACTTCTTCCACCAGGCAGGACCCCCTAGTAATAATCTGGTGCTCATGGCCAACAACAGGGCAATCTGCTTTCCCACACACACTGCTTTTCCCTGCTCCTTGTAACGCCCATTTGCACACCCAAAATTATGTCACTGATAACCCTGACAAGAACTTCTCTTAGGTGAGGCAACTGGCACATGCAGATCTGAAGTACATCATGGGTCCTCACAATTCAGAAATACAGATGCTTGTGCTGCATTTTGAGTGAACTTTGTTGTTTTTCTTGCTCACTGCATCTGGTTCACTTACTGAACCCGCAGGTGAAGAAAAACTACTTGGATGTCTCTGCCACTGCAGGATTGTTACAAGTGGCAAAATTAGAATTTTGCCCTGGATTAATCCTGACAACAGGCAAGTGTATACACAAAGCTTTTTTCTTAATACACTGCACCTATGGCATGAATCACCTCCCTCCACACATCCGCCTCACAAACACCTCTGTGGCAACTACAGGAATGGGCTGACCATGAGCAACCAACATGGGGTAAAGATATTTCTACAGCCATACCCAGTGTTAACTGATCATGTTCATAGACACCTGTTTCTTGAAGGATGTTGCTTTTCTCTGTCCACCTTTATCCAGGTCACTGAGAGGATATCTGATCACTACAGGCTTGTACAGACCACCACCAAGTGCTCTGGAAACCATCCTTTCGGGCTTGAAAGACATTTGTGCGAAGGCTCAAGCATAACACTGAGAATCCAAGACACCAGAGTGCTAACTCTGACTCATCACTTATGTATTTCTGTCTCAGTTTCCTCCCTATGTAAGTGAGGAAGATAAAGTTTATTCTTCCCTCTCAAGAGAGTTGGAAGGAATCAACACTGTTTGCATTTCTTTTTAAGCATGCAGTGTGTAAACACTTTAGCTCAGTTAAACTGTTCAAAATTCAGTTATGTTGATTTTCTCAAAATTTCCTCAAATTTGTTACACATTGCTTGCCATGAGGCCCTACAACTGAGCCCACAAGATCAAACACGAACTGGAAAACACGATGTCCCTGTCCAGAGGGCATCACAAATGAAAGCCCTGTGCTTAAACTCGGGCACATGAGTCACACACGTGTACAACATTAAGTACATGAGGGTTTGCATGACCAGGGCCTAAGACGAGACAAAAAAGCAAAACTAAACAGACATGGGGAAAAGCGTGCAGGAGAGTGCAGCACCAAACGCATCCTGGACATCCATTTTTAGCTTTTAAAATTCCTGATTTGCGTGGAAACCACACAAAGGTTTCCTTCCGAAAAGAGGACGCACGCGAACTTTCTTTCTCTCTAGCTTACGGTCGCGGTGGCAAACACTCGCTTCGTATGGCCAGGGAAGCGGGATTTTGGCCCCGGCAGCCGCAGCCCCGTCGGCACCCCGCAGCCCGCAGCCACGGAAGGACCGGACACCTCCGGCCCGCTCTCCCACGCGATCTCCAGCCCCCTGCGGGCACATCCCACCCACCGCCCGGTCACGCAGCCCCGGGATGCCCGGTGCCAGCTCCGTCCCGTTCCCTCCCGCGGATCCCGAGCGCTCCATCCCCCGCGTGGGAGCGCGGCGCGGAGCCCCCGTCAGCCCAGCGGCGGAGCCGCCCCCGCCCCGCCCCGGGACGAGTCCCCACCTCCCGACCACTCCTCCTCCTACTGCTGGAAGGGGAAATATGAAGCGGAGTCGTCGCAGCGCTCCGCGGAGTAGAGTGGGAACGCGGCGGCGGAGCAGCGGGCATCTCCGGGCACCGAGCGGCGGCCGAGCCGGAGCCCTGCCGGGTCGGCGGCGGTGACGGCGTGCGGGGCGGGAGCCCTGAGGAGGGGGAACAGCGGCGGCGCCCGGCCGCGGAGGGTGCTCGGCGGCCCCCGGCCCCGCCAGCCGCCTGCCCCCCAGCGCCGGGCCGTGGGCTGCCCGCGGCGGCGCTGAGGCGCGGGCGGCGCGGCGGGAGGTGGCGGCGGTGGCGGCGGCGGTCGGAGCGCGGCGAGGCGCGGAGATGTCCGCCCCGTACGGCAGCCTGATGCGGTACCTGTTCCCAGCCCTGCTACTGCACGGTGAGTGCGGGGCGGCTGCCTGCGGGCCTCGGCCCGTGGGGCGGCCCGAAAAGCCGGCTGGATTGCGAGGTGGCCCCAAAACCTCGCTGGTGGGCGGGGGCAGAGGGTGGCGGGTGGGCGCGCTTTCCCCTTGTGGCCGTGGGCACTGGGTCCCATCTGCTCGGCACGGGGAGCAGAGAGGA